GGGGGCGGGGTCCCCTGTGGGTCCCACCGCTCCCGAGAGCGCGGCGGGCGGGCGGGGAGCGGCGCTAACTACCCGTTATCTCCCCATTGCCCCCCATGTTCCGCCACATCGTTACCCCGCTAACCCCCGCCGCTCTCCCGTCCCCGCAGCTGGTGGCGTTTGTAACGTTCCTCTGCTTCGTGGCCTCCCACTCCCACGAAGCCTACACGGCACTGGCCGCCATGGAGACGGCGATCACGGCGCTGTTCTTCCTTCTGTACTTGCTGCGGCTCGATAAAAAGATGAAATGGCTCTTCTGGCCGCTGGCTGTGAGTATTGGCTGGGCCTAACGCTGGCTGTGAGTATTGGCTGGCCCTAAAATGAAGGGATTTGACGCATTCTGTGACTGACCACCCCTTGTTCAGTAGGGGGTCACTGCCAATCACTTCAAATTCTGTTTCTAAAAAGTTAAAGAAAAAAACCTGTGTTTCACTGTTGTTGAACCAGTTTTTCCTAACGGAGATTGTAGTGTTCTTCTGCATCAATTTCTAAATAGCTGGGTGGTATCCATATAATGAACATCATTTGCTTAACTTTCTAATACTGTACTTTTCATCTTTCACATCAGAAGTTAAACGTACACTTAAATATTAATGAGTTCTCCTCTCACCTCCCTTTTTAAAATTTACTTTCTGCTTTCATCTATCAAGTGTAGCCATGTTGCATACACTTGACTGAAAATAAGAAAAAGGTAAAAGGAAGCTTTGCCACAAATGTTCTTTTTGACATCAAGCCACTGGGTGTCACTATCGATCTTACGTGGCTGTCGGTGTAATTCCATTTTCTTGGTAAACCAGCAGGTTTTAACGATTCATACGGTGTTGGGAGCTACTCACGTTCTTCAGGCGTGTATTTCAGAATAAACGTTTTGCTTCCGCTGGCTGTTTCAGGATATTTTCAACTCGGTGATTGCAGCGTTGTTCCTCCTCATTGTGTGCCTCTTTGCGTTAATAATCAAGACCAACAATGGGACACTGGCTGGAGGAGTAAGTAGGAACATTATGAACCAATTTCAGTTCTTAAAGCAGTCACAATGTGAACCTCGTGGTGTACTTACAGTGTGGTAAGACCAGGACAGTAACTCCATCAAGGAAGAACGTACTCAGCAGTCACAAACAGAACTGAATGCACATTCATTGTATCTCACTAAAAAAAATAATCCTGAAATCACTAGTGATCTGAAGGTATTGCTAGATTTAGGAATGGCTCGGAGAAGTACTAACACTGAAAACGCCCAGAGTTTAACTGCTTTGAGTAACCTGTGGCTCGAAATCCTAGGTGAGAGAAACCATAGCTCTTTGAGGACTATCCTGTTTGGTTACAGTATTTAAGAAATGCTTATGACTCTGGAGATGATACTTTTTAACAGACATGCTGGTACTTCCCTCCTGATGTATATATTATTTTTTTCTGACATGAACCGAGAAATTATGGCAGTTGAAAAAGTTTTTTCATATTACAAATATAAAGATTTTTGTGTACTTAAGATCAAACCAGTTTGGTAGTTTAAGGAACTGGTATTTTTAATTAAAACTAATATAACTAACGTGAACATACAATAGGGAGGAGGAACTAATTCTGAAAGTACTTCAGCGTCCTGAAGTACAAGATAAACTAGGACGACAGGCAACCAGAAGAAACAGAACTTGCCACAGGAGTTTTTCAAAACCAGCTTAAAGCAGGGGGGTGCCAAGCTGTTGCCTTGGCTGGTGCTGGCAGTGGCAACCTAAGCAAAAAGCAGACTTTCTGATAAAGTGACTGGCTATGCTAGAACGCAGTTTATCTTCTCAGTTGTTAATAGAAATTAAATTTAAGTTAGATGCAGGAGACTGAGCAGGTACCTCAGAAAACAAGTTTAGGCAGAACGTGCAACATCGTCAATGTTGGGAGAAACAGAATTGCCCCTAGGCCTGCGCTCCCTGGGCACAAACTGCCTTGAACTGTGCTCTCGTGAGGAGTAGTGCTGTGGCATTACTCCCACTGATCAGAAAATTCCATTTTAAAACACACTTACATAAAAAAACCTTGTGCGTGTGTGGGATCAGGCTGAAGGGCAAGAGCTGAGCAAGTTCACTCAGCAGATGTTTTTCAAAAACATTTTTCCAGTTGCCTGAAGTTGTGTATTTTTAAAATATTTATGTACATTTTCTTCAGTTTGCAATATGTTTCCTGTTCATAGCTTCAGAGGAAAGGAGCATTCTTTATTTCCTGCTAGGCTTGTTTCTATGAATGTTGACTTTTCTTCAGGCGAATACCATTAGGCAGTCCTAAAAGAGACAGAAGGCTTTTCATTTAGGATGAAAGCATTGTCTGGTGTAATGCAGCATTAGCTTTGCTTTCAAGAACACATCATCTCCAGGCTTCAGACAAACATCACCCAAAGCCGTGGACTGCTGTGTGAAAGACTGATGGGATTTAAATGGATGTTATTTATCAGTGGCCTCACATCACGCCAGAAGCAATGGAGGAAGCATTTACTGCTTCTGTGAGGACAGCAGATGAGTCACTATGGTAAAAGATAGAGATTCTACAGGGAAACTAACATTATCGTTACTTTTATAGGTGTTTGGTCTTGTCTTGCTTGTTCTCTGTGTTGTCGACGCGGTTCTTCTTTTCCAGAAGATTAGCCTTGGTGCGCCGAGAGAGGGGAATACTGCAAAATAAGAGTACCATTTTAGTAAAAGAACGATTTCGCCATCGATGACTGTTCTACTGTCCTCTCTTAAATAATTTGTATTTTCATGTAGTCACCGTTGAATTTACTGTGCATTTATGTACATTTTTACAAGTATGGTTCATAAGTTTTCTTACATTTACGAATGTAGTTTTAGTGTTACAATTTCACCAGTATAAGCTTCACAGAAAATCCCATTTTTCTAAACTTAAGTTACATTTTTACCTGTATGAAAAAATTTCATGATTGTCTTTTTTTCAGTAATAAAAAGAAAATACAGATGGGCTTACATGCACTATTTAATGTTATTTACTTGTTAAGCATAAAGTGAAAACGTAATGTACCAGTAAACATCTTTAGGAAAAGGTTTTTTTCCCCCGTGTTCATCATTCCAGAGATCAGCCTTCTGGCTGACGACTGCCTCACGCCGTGTGAATGGTTCATTGCCGAGGCATTTTGATACCCAAATTTCCATTTTTATGTTCAGAATAGCGCTGAAAATCACCACACTGCCTCCCTACTGTAATGCAATCGCGACTGTACAATGAAAATAGATTAAAAAAATAGTTAAATCAGTGTGACAAGCCACAGCACATCCCGGTGTCAGCGAGGAGAGCTGCTGCGGGTGCCCCCGCGCTCAGAGCCGGGGGTGCAGCACGGCGCCCCGGAGGGGGTGCGATTGTCCAACCCCCCGGGGAGCCCGCCGCGAGGTGGGGTGGCAAGGCCGACACAGTGCAAATGAGGAAAGGGAGTGAGCTGCTGTTAAAACCATTTTTCAGGCGCTGAGGTGTGCTCCCTGCCCTCCTCCCCGCCCGGCGGTGCAGAGATAAGGCGGAGCGGTGGGGGCCACAGCCGCCCC